GTCATCAACTCCAGCGCATCTTCCCCTGTTTCAGCTCATCATCTACTTTTAAAATGGCAGCGGACTGATACCCTTTCGCGAAGAATCGGTGAAGGCCTATGAAAATTACGTGCGTGAATGGAGAGGATTAGAGGAAGATGATTCTTCAGTTGATTATTCAGAAGCTTGCAGGAGGAAGGAGATTTTGCGGGGATGTGGGTCCCTACCGAACCTTGGTTTTTTTTTTTATGAATAGCCTGGGGTTGCCGGAGAAGAGAGATGGTGGCAGAATTACGGTGAGGTCGGCAATTGGGATGGTGACGTCGGGTTGGCGGAGAAGAAAGACAGCGCTAGAGATGCTTGTGGTATTACGGTCGTGATGGCTAGGGGATGTGATGATGGGTCAATGGGGAAGGAGGTGATTTCGTCGATCTGGATGAAGTGGAAAAGTAAATGGGGATTTGGAATTTCAAACTACATAAGGGTTGTGAAGAGATAGAAGGAAGATAGAAAATACAACTTGATGGACAAACCATGGGTGTTTAAGTTATGATTCGAAGAAAATTAGGTACAAAATATAGAAGGATATGAAAAAATATGTATAGGTACTAAAAAGCACGTATGAAAAAGCAATGAGACCAACTAATTATTTTAATATTATAAATAATAAATAATTTAATTAGCATTAATCAATGCCGTTAGATTAGATCAACGGTGCATAGAATCTGTCGCATGCTATGCGTTAGGTGCATACGAGTGTGACCCATATACATACATATATATATATATATGGTGGCTTCTATGGTTGCCTCGGTGAAATCCAGGGTACCATATACTTTGAGTATGAAAACGTAATCTAGTCCACGAATTAGTAGGATTTTTGGTCCTGATACTATACCCTACCCCTAATGAGTAAACCCTAGGCCCTAATTATCTAAATCATAACCGTCGATTATTATTTCTAATTAAATTGATCTTGGGATATAAGATTTAGAGAATTAAGACATAGATTTTCATCTTTAAGGGTTAGAGTATATTATCATGTCTGAAAGATCCGTCAATTCAAGGTTTTGATAGCATTTTCATACTAAAAGTTTGCGGTACCTCGGATTTCACTCTGGACATCCTAGAACTCACCATATATATATATAGTTTATTTATTTATTTTTGTATATATATATATATTGGAAGGATAAGTTTCATAGCAACTTAGAAGCTTTTATCATTAATAAATAAATAGTGATTGTAGAACATATCTCAACAATTCGATTTTTTTATGACCAACAATTCGAGTTATTGATACTAAACAATTTTTAATAAAGAATAATATTAAAAAATAAACGACTAATTGAAAGATGAATAATTTGATATTCTTGTTAGTTTTGACTACTAATATATTTTAATTTATAAAGTTTTCCAAACATAAGTCTATATGATGGATGATTAAAAAAGTTCAACAAAAACTATTTTATCATGTGTAATTTTTTATATGAACTCACTTTTCATGAAATCCTGACTACGCTCCTGTCCAGGAGAGTTTCATACGAATTCTCTTGTGAAACGATCCTTCTTGAAGGTTGTCAAGCATAGTAATTTTCCATTGTGATGCATCAGTGTTGGACGTTGGAGCCGTTTTTTGCATCCATCAACCGAGGGATAGTCTGTTGGAGTGGGGGTGGATTTTATATGATTCTGCTGCAAAACGTTGGCAAATTTTGCCTTGATAAATCTTTCTAAGATGATTGCGGTGATTGGGTTGACTATGACACAAACTGGCTTTTTGGGGGACTGATCGTTTTCTTTAGATAGCGATCCATCTTTGACAAAGAAGTAAACTGGTTGACAGTTGTTTGGAGTTTGCAATGACCGAGAAGATATGGTGCTTTAATGGTTTTGAACTATGGTTAATTTGAAGGCAACGAGATGCATTGTCGATGAGGAGGACTGAAGGATAAGTTTCGGTTTTGGCTATGTTGTAGGGATAGGGTTAGGCGATTGGTGTTCGTATTGACAATTGGGGGGTAGATTTGCTTTTTAGTTTGAATTTTGAATTAGTAGTTGTAATTCAAGATGGATGGGCTGTATTAGTTGGGGCGCATATGATGTGTGAGGAATACCCTTTTAATGTGATTCTTGAGCCCAATAAAAGCATCATAATTGAACTGTTTTCTGTTTGTGAAAAGAGCGAAGGAAAAGGGGCCAACGAAGGAAACCATAGGTGTAGGTGACATGGATAGCCTCAACGTCCAGTATGGAGTACGTGGTATGGGTCCAAAACTCAAAGTGCTTTAATATATTTAAAGATAATGACATTCTTGGTATAAATTTGTTACCATAATTTCTATGAAGAGCAATATAATTATACATAGGAGAAATCCTAAACATTCCTAGTCGAAATAGTATATGGGAATGGGTTTACATAGTACGTACGGACTATGTGACCTCACGCAATGTGCATTAACTTGACAATAAGGCACGATAGTTAGAGAACCAAAATGATTTATCAATCCATCTAAAAGATCATGTCATACATTTCATAAGAAATAGTCAAAAGTGTATGTGCTTCTCAAGTGGTCATATGCGTAGCAGAGTTCATAGACTTGAGTTTGTCAAAGAATGCTCTATGGATCATGACTCGTAATAGGACTGGTAATCGGGTATCCGGTTAATGGTTTAATCGGTTACCGAACCGATAACCGGAGGTTACCAGTTAACCGGCGGTATCGGTATACGGTGGCCAAAATCCAGCTGTCGGTATATCGACCCATGCTCGGTTAAAACCCAACAGTTATTGGTAATACCGAGTAACCGATATACCCTCCCCAAATCCCAACCTTCTCATTCTATCACCCCGTTAGTAAACCCCAAACCCCAATTCTCTCATCTCCCCCAGGAAGAAGTTCCCTCTCTGAATCCCTAATCTATTAATTCGATCCTTCCCTACTTTGCTGACTCGGCCCCTCGAGCAGATCGACCACCACCAGTTCTCCGTCTTCTCTTCTCCCTCCGACCAAACCAAACACCAACCAGATCTTCCACCATCAGTCCGTCTCCATATTCTCCTCCTCCCTCCCTACTTGCAGTGGCTGTCACCATCATCGGCGCCTCACCACCCCTGCCTCCGCCAGAGTTACCATTATCATATCCTCCTCCTCTTCCACCGCCAGAAACCTCGAAATTGAGAGAAGCCCAACTGCCGAACAAGACCATGCAGCGAGTCCACAACCCTCCCCTGTCTCTCTCTCGATCTCCACAAAACCACAATCCTCTCTGTTCTCTAATCGACACCCAACAATGACCCGCCGTCGAAAGACAATCGATCGGATTGAAGGCCACCTGGATCTACAGAAACCCCAAAAAATCCCTAATCCGGCGGCGGCTACGGCTGGTGGTCTGAGCGGCGGAGAGAAAACTTATGTGATGCCCGCATGCAGCGGTGGCGGTAGGGATGAGGAGAGGAGATCGAGAAAGAGCGGAGGGCTGAGAGAGGAGATCGGGAGAGAGAGGACGGTTTGGGGGGGGAGAGAGAGAGAGGACGGTTCGGGAGAATGAAAATAGAGAGGTGGCGGAGATGGTAACCGGTAACCGTCTATTCGGTAACCGGTTAACCGGTTAAAAACCTGTATCGGTATTCGGCCTCTTCCTCATTGTACATGGTATACCGTAACCGGGTCGGTCGGTAACTGGTTAACCGGTAACCGACCAATTACCACCCCTAACTCGTAATAGGCTACGCAATAAAAGTCCCGGAGAGTTCTAAGAGAGCATGTAAAAAAATTGAAAAATAAAGAGCCAATGCCATACTTCTTATAAAAAATTAGTGGATTTTCTTATAAAAATCATGACGGTTAGTTTAGTAAAAGTTACTTTAATAGGGGGTTTAAAAATAAAACGTGGTTGCCATCACACGATATTATGCATAAGGAATCAAAAAAATTCCTTACCTAAGTAAAAAGTAACTTTAGTGAAAACCTAAAAGAAAAGAATAAAAAGCAAACTGAATAAACAGAAGTCTATTTTATCGTCTTAATATCAAATTAATCTTTATAACTCCTTTAGGAATAAAGTAGTTGCGGTACTTGGTACAATATTAAATACAATTTTTGAATATCCATTAAAAGAAGCACTTAACTATTTTTATATTCATTTATGGACACCCATTTTTAATTATGCCAAATTTACATATTTATTTGTTGAGTTTTAAAATGTCGTTAGAATGCGCGGGTAACTATCTTTGCTCCTATACTAGCGAGGGAGATAACGACTTTTTAAATGTCTAACCAAAAGTTTCTTGCATTTTTTTCTCTTAACGTTCAGAAAGACATCTTCGGCCACGCCAAACTTGTTACTATTAATGTGCACGTCTGATAAGAAGAAAAACTTTCTTTAAATAATTTTCTCCAAAGATCCAAGAACCAGTTAGAATGAACATATACATTACTTTTCCAATTTACACCGTCCGATCTACGTAATTTTAACATTTAGGGAGGGATACTCATGACCTTTAAATGCAGTAGTAACTCAACACATTTTTACTAGAGGTGACATTAGGGCTTTGAGTTGCAAATCTAAGGTATTAGATACTAAGAAAATGGCCAAAAATCAAATCTTTAATAAGAACAAAAGCATGACAAATGCTTTCATTCATTCTTTTGTTTGTAGTGAACATTGAACAAGCAAGAGTATTAATTGAAGTGGTAGAAAGAGGACACAAGAAAATCCAAAGCATGGATAGAGAGAATCTATTTTGTATGCCATGTTTACTTTACTTTAACAAAATCTCAGGGGGGCACAGGTAGTTATGAGGCAACCGCTACCACTTTACCCCTAATTTAGCAATACCCTAGAAAGATTTCTGGATAATTTAGACAGACAGAAACCCTAAATTAATAACAATAATATATATATATATATAAAACAAATATATACAATGATAAAAAAAATTAAAAGGAAAATCTAAGAAACCACCCTTTCTAAAAACGAACACCGAAACCCAAAATCAAGATCAAAGGTTATTGAATTGAACAGTAAGCCAGCGCTTGGGAGGGCCGTAGAATAGACACAAAGCGAGAATCAAGCCACTGTTGCGCCATTACTGTACTCTCTCTCTCCTTCCCTCCCTCTGTCTCTGGTTTCCCAGTGGATACAGGGAGGACGATGAGGCGGCGGCGGGGGCGGCGGAGGAGGAGAGACCAGAGGAGGCGAGCGGCGTTGAACGGGGAAAGAGGGGGGGAGGAATTTGGGGAAACGAGCTCTCTGGTCATCTGCTGGGGAGGGAACCCACGTGGCGGGATGTGAGTGGTTGAGGGGTGGGCTTTTGAATTGATGTTCCCCGAGCCGAGCCTTTGGCTTTTCTCTCCCCATCTCTCTCATCATAACCCCCGCTCCCTATGACCCCGGCGCCTTTTCCTACCCTCGCGCTCTCTCTCTACAACTATTCTTCGATTGCTGTTGCTGTGGTGGTGTTTGGAGAGAGAAAGCGTGGCAGCCGCCGAGCGCAGCGCAGCGCAGCGAGGGATCTCCTTCCTCCGAGTTCCGACTCCGGAGTCCAGCCCCTCTCCTCTCGTCCCTATCTCTCTCAATCGCTTTCGCCCGAGTCGTTGTTGTCTCTCTATTTATTTTCCCATTTCTTGTTGTGCTGTGCCTTCCCACCTTTTCCTCCTCCCTCTATCTCTCTCCTCTTCCCCATCCACCTTCCTCGTATCTCTCGTATTTCCGCCTTCCCCTGCATCCTTCCATGCCCTAATCTCCAATCCTTTGCCGTACGGTTCAATTCGGTCTTGAATCAGAATAAGTAGACTTGTCTCCGTTTCGATCCGTTTGGAGGCTTGGTAAGGTCAGCCTCTCTTCTCTTATCTGTATTCGGCTTGTTTCGTCGTTTGTCCACTTGGGTGGGGATTATCTTTATGTATGGGTAATCGGGTTCTTAAACACATGGGATGATGAGCTGCCGCCGCCGAGGGTGTTGAGTTCTGGTGGCTTTTCCATTCTGATTTTTGCTAGTTCGTTGATTAGTGTTGGCAATTGAGGTCCTTTGGGTTGTGGCACATAGCTAGCATGCGGCGTTTTTATTGAAATGAGGGTTCTTTGAGGTCAATGCTTTGTGCCCTGGTCTTAAATTATTGAGTATGTTGCAAATTGTTATTGTTTTACGATTGGCCTTTGCATGGTTTTGGGAAGATGGTTCAATTGATTCATTTTTGTAGATGAGATTGGAGCTCCTCAAAAGCCAGCAGTTGCGGAATATAGTGTTTCATTTTGGTTAGCAGATAAGAGTGGTAATTGGGAGGATATTAGGCTCTTTTAGCTTCATGGGATTGTTTATCAGAGTTTGCATGCTGCTTAATCTGAAGGGCTATTTGTTTTTTATGTGCTTTAAATTTCAGTTGTCATGCATTTTTGAAATGCCAAAGTTGCTATGTATTATTTCATTCTTTGGTGCTGTATGGTGGAGCATTGTTTGACATAACCAGGTGGGAGAGTCTTTTTGCGTACGTTCAGTTTAGTAATCGAATAAGTCAATTTGAATTTGTGATGTTGGGTTGCTACACTGGAGGATGAAGTACCGGAATGCAATATATTTTCTGTTGGTGGCTTTTGACGAGGAGAATGTGTAGCTTATATTTTGTTTCTAGCTATGACATTGCCTAGATCCTAAGTTATTGTAGTGTGACCAGCTATAGATGTTATTAACTTGGAGGTATAATCTTCTTAGGCCATACAAAAAAGTAACTTTTATTGGTTATGCTATTTTCTTTTAGTGGCTGTTAATTTTGTTCTTGTTTACAATGAGCTCGAATTTTGGCTATTATGCATTTGCAACTCTCTCAGTTGCTTGCTCTTATTTCATTCGTCAGCGTTGTGTGTGGAGCATTTATTTTGGTTTAATACAGGCTGATGGGTTATCTTGCTATACTTTGAGTTTAGTAGAATCAAGGAAGTCAACCAGAATCTCTGAAGTTGAATTGCTGCTTTGAAGGAATAGAACATAATCTACTTCATTTGATGGAGTCTGTTATTGTGATGCTATTTCTCTTGTGGCTTTTGGATGATGAGAGTGCATTGCTTTTATTTATGTTTAGCTATTACATTGCACGGACCGTCAGTAATTAGAATGTGGCTAAACATTTGTTATATACATTATGAACTTGGTCGCTAGCTATGCATTTTGGATTCTTTTGTCCTATATGAATATCTTAAATCTGATAATGCCTGCGCATGGTTTGAAAACCCCACCTAGGATGAGATCCTGGATGCTTATATATAACATTTATGAATGACATTGCCATATGCTATGATTTGGGTATAATGCTACAACTCCTCATCTGATAGTGCCGCTGTAGCTCATAGGCTATAGGAAAAAGTCACTTTTCTCTATTATCGATTTTTTTTTGTCTTTACTGTTTCCTTGACAATGACTTAAAAATGCTGTTCTTGATAGCAGGCTGAGGTGGTTGCAGACCTTGCATCAATGATGCAATTTTTTTTCCCAATCTACTATGCTTGTGGCAATTAAGTGCTGAATTTAAGAAGCAAAACTGAAGGATGAAGGACAGCAGCTCAAATACAAATAAAATCATTAACAGGAACTGGGTCTTGAAGCGCAAACGTAAAAAGCTACCTTTTGGACGCATTCTTGGTAAAGAAGAGAAGTCATTACCTCCTAATACTCCAGATGCTCCATCTGCAGCCAAACGGCAAGCAAGCAATGAGTTAGGTCTTGAGCAGTCTGTGTCCAAGAAGAAGGGAAATGATGGGGTCAGTTGCTATTTGTTCTCTTTAGCACTTTCAGTTTGCTGATGTGCAAGTTAACAGTTTTTATGTTTGCTAAGCCAATAAGTTAATTGTCTATGCTTCCATGTATGCAATGCATGCATGCATGCATGACTTCTCGCTTATAATACTTTGTTTTGCTTACTGGAGCACTTTCCTGTTTGACTTCTGGCAAGACATGCAATCTTCCGCTGCATCCCTGATGTATTTGGTTTGTTTCTGCATTTGAATTTCTTTAAGTTTGTCCTGTGTTTGATGCACACTTATTTCTGATGCCTTTCCTGTCGTGACATCTTGGGAAAGCAGGGTGGGGTTTTCATATACATTTAGGAAATGAGGAATCGCCTCTAAACTTACTAGACATGCTATGCGTGTGGCCTTTGCAAATGTATTATATCTATTTATTGGTAAGAGAAATGGCAGGAAGTAGTGTTGAGTAAGGGTTTTTTCTTTCTGCTTGTAACTCATGGGCTTGACAACGTGTTATTGTTCACTGACTGCTCCTCTTTGAACTGTCTTCTAGTACTACTATGAATGTGTCGTTTGCGATCTCGGTGGAAAATTACTCTGTTGCGAAAGCTGTCCCCGAGTATACCATATTCAATGCCTTGATCCACCCCTTAAGGTATACTTACTTTGGTGTTATATAGTTGTGATCCTTATAGTTTCCTGGTACTTATCTTCCCCAAAGAACCTATAGTTTACTTTATTTATGATATATTTTCTTGACGAAGTGTTTAATTATTACATGAAGCGCATACCAATGGGCAAGTGGCAGTGTCCAAAATGCTTCCGAAAGAATGATCCACTCAAGGGCATCAGCCAGCTGGACTCCAATTCAAAGCGAGCAAGAACAAAGCTCATCACTACAAATTCTGGGGTCAAATCATCTGACGCTGACAAAGCGTCTCGGCTCCTTGGAAGCTCCACTTTGTCTAGACAAAGGACTTCAAACAAAGGGAAGTCTGTTGTGATACTTGGAGCTAACTCACCGGATAAAGAACTAGATTCTTCCCTAGATGTATCTAATAGCAGCATGCTTGGCTGCACTGATGGTGTATCCCCTTTAGAGAATGCTGATGATGCTAAGAACCCTGATACTCCTGCAGCAGGGTTAGTTTCTAATAATAGTGCAGTTGCTGACAAGAGCACAACTGAAGTTGATAAGCCAGAGAGCAAATCGTCTTCTGAGAATGTTGATGATGCTATACAAGCTGATGTGTCTTCACCAGCTTCAGTTGCAGATAGGAAGGCTGTTTCTGATCCCGAGGAACTTCTCTCTGATTCCCAGTTCAAACAATCAGATCCACATGATGATACCTGTGACAGCACACCTGACTCACATTATAGTGGGTCTTCTGATAAGCGAGTCGTTCTTGCTATTGGTGCTACTGCTGACAAAAACAGAAAGAGGAAGCTTGAGTTTAACGATGGAGACACTGTAAAGAAGCACAAGATTGACAAAGGAAAGCGTTCATCTAAGAAATGTGTGTCTATGAGCAATATTGCAGGACGTGGGACTACTAAATCACACCAGAAAAGAAAAAGCCTCGATCGTTTAGTTTCTGCTTCTTTGCCAGTTGGTGATGTCATAACTAGGAAAACAGACGCGACAAGCAATGATGAGGTGCTTATTTTCATTTAATAGTCGTAACTAGAGGCTCCATAAATATTGTTGCAAGCAATATATCTGATTTAGATAAGTTGCTGGTCAAAAGTACACCATGGCAGATGAGTTTGCATATTGGTTTTATTTTCAAAATATGTTTACTTTGATTTTGACGTGAAGTTCTTTTGGTTTTCCAGATCATCTTCTTGTTTCGTTTAGGCTAACTTTATCTATCATGATATGAATAAACGTGAAAGGTATCTGCCTGATTTTTGGTAGACTAGTTTTAGCAAGGGCGACTGAGAAGTCGTATTCATGTTGGTCACATATCCTGATATTTGTGAAGAGTTTCTCGACTGTCTCATGCACTTACAACATGCTATCCACAGAATGTTCCATGATTTTTGTTTCAGAGCATATTAACTCCAATCCGAGTCTTCTCTTTCATAGTAACTTTGTTGCATGTCAATGTTAAAGGTACATGAGAATGCTGTGTGTACGACAAACACGTCAGATAAAGTGAGTGGTCGAATTGAAAGACAGACCTCTGAATATGGTTTTCTCCCTGAACTGCAGCAGGTAAAATTTCTTGTGTAGAAAATTTACAAAATGACTCGCAATATATTAAGACTAGTTTTTTCTGAGTAGGGATGTGTGCAAAATAGTAATGACCTTGAAGAGTTTCCTTGCATGAATCACAGGTTGATCGTGTTCTAGCATGTAGAATTCAAGGTGATTGTTCAATAATCTCTTCAACTCGTACATCTTTGATTGAAGCAGAGGACCTTCCATCCGATGTGATTGTTATGTCCGAGTCTCAAAACAAACTTGCAGATGCAATTTCATCCTGTGACATTGATCAAGATAAGGTAGCCGAGAATCTTCTTGTGGGTTCTCCTACCGCTGTAGGAGGTGCTAATACTGATGGAGAAAGTATAAAGAATGATAACAAAGTGTTGGGTGAGGATTTTTGTGGTACATTGACTCGGAAAGACTGTAAAAAAGGGGATGTTAAGGAGCCAGTGGAGACTGTTGGCACATATCTTGTTTCCACATGTATAAATGGTAAAGATAGGGATGAGTCTGCAGTAACCTCAGAGGACTTGGGGAATAAACTTGACAAGATGGCAGACAAAGATATTCATGCCTCCTCGGAAAGGCAGGATGCTATGGAAGTTGCTGAAGTGTGTGAATCACAAGTATCTCTTGAATCGAAGGACACCAGTAAGATGAATGCAGAAGTGAAAGTTAGTTGCAATGGCGAAACTAAAGTCCAAGAGCCATCCATGGTGGAAACTGTATCTCATAAGGGGGATGCAATAACATACGAATTCTTGGTTAAGTGGGTTGGGAAGTCCCATATACATAACTGTTGGATTTCTGAATCACGACTAAAGAGTCTTGCAAAGCGAAAACTAGAAAATTACAAGGCAAAATATGGAACAACTATAATGAATATCTGCGAGGAAAGGTGGAAGCAGCCTCAAAGAATACTTGCCCTGCGAGAATCTGGCGATGGTACACAAGAAGCTTTTGTGAAATGGACTGGCCTGCCTTATGATGAATGTACTTGGGAACAACTGGACGAACCTGTTCTTAAGTGTTCTTCCCATCTGATAGATATTTTTCATCAGTTGGAATCGCAGACACGGGAAAAAGATAGCACAAGTCATGGTCCGACAAAGGGCAGGGGTGAGGTTATTACTCTTACGGAACAGCCAAAGGAACTCAAAGGAGGTGCTTTATTTCCCCATCAACTTGAAGCACTGAATTGGTTACGTAAATGCTGGTATAAATCTAAAAATGTGATACTTGCCGATGAGATGGGGCTTGGGAAAACAGTTTCTGCTTGTGCTTTCATCTCATCGTTGTATTTTGAGTTCAAAGCCAAGCTTCCTTGTTTGGTCTTGGTTCCACTGTCTACTATGCCTAACTGGCTTTCAGAGTTTTCTTTGTGGGCTCCAAATGTGAATGTTGTGGAATATCATGGGTGTGCAAAAGCAAGGGCTGTTATTCGCCAGTCCGAATGGCATGCAAGTTATCCAAATGAGGTTAATAAGAAAACCAATTCTTACAAGTTTCATGTGCTTTTGACCACTTATGAAATGGTTCTTGCTGATGCATCTCATTTGAGGGGAGTTCCTTGGGAAGTTCTTATCGTTGATGAGGGGCACCGTCTAAAGAACTCAGGAAGCAAGCTGTTCAACTTGCTTAATTCTTTCTCTTTCCAACACCGTGTTTTATTGACCGGGACCCCTCTTCAGAATAATATTGGAGAGATGTACAATTTACTGAATTTCCTGCAGCCAGCTTCATTTCCTTCCTTGACTTCCTTTGAGGAGAATTTCAATGATCTTACAACTGCGGAGAAAGTGGACGAATTGAAGAAACTTGTTGCTCCACACATGCTTCGAAGACTCAAAAAGGATGCAATGCAAAATATCCCTCCGAAGACAGAACGGATGGTCCCTGTGGAGTTGTCTTCTATCCAGGCCGAGTACTACCGTGCAATGCTTACGAAGAATTATCAGGTACTAAGGAATATGGGAAAGGGGGTTCCACAGCAGTCAATGTTAAATATTGTGATGCAGTTGAGAAAGATTTGCAATCATCCTTATCTCATACCGGGAACTGAGCCTGATTCTGGATCAGTTGAATTTCTCCATGAAATGAGGATAAAAGCCTCTGCAAAGCTGACTCTTTTGCATTCAATGCTTAAGGCTCTATATAAGGAAGGTCATAGAGTGCTTATCTTTTCCCAGATGACCAGACTTCTTGATATACTTGAGGATTATTTGACGATAGAGTTTGGTCCAAAGACGTATGAGCGAGTTGATGGCTCTGTTTCTGTTTCTGATCGTCAAACTGCAATTGCACGATTCAACCAAGATAAAAGTCGATTCGTGTTCTTGTTGTCAACACGATCTTGTGGCCTTGGCATCAATTTAGCTACTGCTGACACAGTTATTATTTATGATTCTGATTTCAATCCACATGCTGATATCCAAGCTATGAACCGTGCACACCGTATTGGACAATCGAAAAGACTTCTAGTGTATAGGCTTGTTGTACGGGCCAGTGTTGAAGAGCGTATCTTGCAGTTGGCCAAAAAGAAGTTAATGCTTGACCAACTTTTTGTGAACAAGTCTGGATCTCAGAAGGAAGTGGAAGACATTCTACGATGGGGAACAGAAGAACTTTTCAGCGATTCTAATGGCACACATCTGAAAGAAAACCAAAGCAACAAAGATGAAATCATTGTTGATGTAGAGCAAAAGCAGAAAAAAAAGGGTGGTGGCCTGGGGGACGTATACCAGGATAAATGCACAGATGGTGGCAGCAAAATTATGTGGGATGATACTGCAATTTCAAAATTGCTTGATCGGTCAAATCTTCAAACAGGGCTAGCTAATGTCAGTGAAGGAGAATGTGAGAATGACATGCTTGGCTCAGTAAAGGTAATGTGTAATCCTTTTATAACTCAGCTTGGTGTGCTTAACCAAACCTTAATATGCTGAAAATATTGTTCTGCACAATTATAGATTAGGTTCTACAAACTCAATTCAGCTGGCACCTTTTAACCTTCAGGTTCTTCTTGGATCTGACGGCTTTTGAAACTATTTTAGAAGTTGATCCTCTTCCACATATGATTAGCCTTTTTATTCTATTTTTATGTAACTCCTCAAATCCTGTAATCGTATCTTTTGCATGCAATTGCTGCAAACCGTTTTTGGTTACTTCATCCGATTCATGGCAATTTTAGTAAAGAAATTATGGTCTGTTTGTCATGCAGTCTCTGGAATGGAATGATGAAACAGCAGAAGAGCCTGTAGCAGCAGAATCACCTATGCATCCTGCTGATGATGTTTTTGGAGAAAATCTTGAAAGAAAAGAGGAAAATCCAGTCAATAGCGTCGAAGAAAACGAATGGGATAGGCTTTTGCGTGTGAGGTTAGGGTTTCTTCTTATGCTGGGTTTATCATGTGACTGGCCAGTACATGTTTGTAGTTCTTTCACAGTTTTAGAAGACTTGTGAAACATAATACTGGACTGTGCACAATTGTCTGATTCAATTTGGAGTTGATTCAAAAATCTATTCCTACCTGCATGCACTTGAAATAAACCTGAGAGATAAAGCTTTCTTATGTTTGGGACTAGTAGCATATCAATCGCTGAGTTCACTTTAGTTACTGGTATTTTAGATTTTATTCTACTCTGGTGATTTCACTCATCATTTTTTTATAACTCTGTTGTTCGGAAAGATAGCTTGGAAGTGTTCTAATGTAATAAATCTGCAATGTTAGATGGGAGAAGTATCAAAGTGAGGAGGAAGCAGCTCTTGGTCGAGGGAAACGTCAGAGAAAATCTGTTTCCTACCGGGAAGCTTATGCTCCCCACCCAAGTGAAGCTCTGAGCGAGGTAATTTGCAGTTTCCTACAAGTAAAGAAATGCATACTTATCAGTAATTCCTACCAATTCAATTATGTCAAAGTAACCAGCCATCTTGCTTGAATCGAACAGCTGTAATCCCTTATCTATACTTAATATGTTCATGAAAGCAGAGTGGTGGTGAAGAGGGGCGGGAGCCAGAACCAGACCGAGGATACACGTCAGCCGGACGAGCTTTAAAGGAGAAGTTGTAAGTGGCAATATGATCTTTTTAATTTATCTAAAATTAGTGTCGTCATTTTATACATGATCTCTAAACAGCTTGGCACTTGCTTCAATCTGTTGTGCAATCCGGATTTGGTGGTGTGAATAAACTTGGATTATCTTGATCAGAAGTAGGAATAGGTGTTACTGCAAAGATCCAAGTTAATTCTTTCAATTTACGCAGATATAGAAACCATTAGGCATCCAAATGTAATTTCAGAGGAAAATGTAGGCTTGACAAGGGCAAGTAATGTTGATGTATGACATGATTTGTAAATTGAAGAAAGTTCTTGAATTGCAGCATCAACGCCTCACCTGTTTTCTTAAAATTATAACTTGGAAAAATTTATATTTGTATTTGGCAGTGCTAAGCTGCGTGCGAGACAAAAGGAGCGGCTTGCTCAAAGGAATATTATTGAAGACTCTGATCCTAATGGTGAAGTTCCAGCACCAGAATGTCCCCCCACCAGTGTCTCGGCTGCCAATGGCCAAGTGAAGGATGAACTAATGGGTAAGAGGTCTTCAGCAATTGATTTGGAGGATGACAAATTTATTCAGCTATTAGATGCTCTGAATAGAAAGCCTGACTCAACTTTAAGGCTGGGCCAATCTTATAATCCTAAAATTGACTATCATCTGAATCCTTCTGTTAATTCCCTTGGTTCCTCCCGTTCTGCAGACACTGTTGCTCCAAACCACCAAATCCAGGGAACAGGCTACACAGATTATCTTCCCTCTGATAATTTATTGCCAGTGCTCGGATTATGTGCTCCTAATGCCAGTCAATTAGAGTCATCTCGTAGAAATTTATCAAGATCCAATGGCAGACACAGCAAGCTGGGTACTAGACCTGAATTTCCTTTCACTCTACCTCCTACTGGAGCTTCCATGGAGGCTGATGGAGGTCTTTCACAATTTTCTAAAAATGGTTTGCCTGATGGTTGGCTCCCGTTTCCGGTACAGCATCTTTATTCCTTATATTATGGCAGCTGGATTCCTCGGTGTTCATCCATTTTCCCATTTCTAATGTTATGTGTTTTTGCAGTATCCTCCATCTTTTCCGCTAGGAAAAATGGCCGAGAGCTCTGGTTCCAGCTTTGCTGATTTCAGGGAAAAAATGTCACTTCCAAAGTTGCCATTTGATGAGAAGATGCTACCTCGATTCCCTCTTCCTACAAAGATGCCCCATCCTGATTTATTGCCTAACTTGTCACTGGGTGGCAGACTGGATGCAACAAATGACTCTATGAGGGATCTTCCTGCAATGCCATTTTTACCCAATTTGAAGATCCCTCAAGATGTTCAAAGATACAGTCAGCTAGAGAACGAGGTGCCTCCTAACCTTGGTTTGGGTCAGATGCCATTAAACTATCCTTCATTCCCTGAAAACCACAGAAAGGTGCTTGAAAACATACTGATGAGGACAGGATCTGTACCAAGTGCCATGTATCGGAAGAAATCAAGAATAGATGGGTGGTCTGAAGACGAACTGGATTCTCTATGGATTGGTGTTCGTAGATATGGAAGGGGCAATTGGGATTCAATGCTCAAAGACCCTAGACTAAAATTATCAAAGCATAAATTGCCTGAGGATTTAGCAGCTAGGTGGGAGGAAGAACAACTAAAGATCCTAGACGCTCCAACCGTTCCAGCACCACCTAAGACAGTGAAGTCTGCAAAGTCTTCCAAATCGCCCATGTATCCAAGCATCCCTGAAGGAATGATGGCTAGGGCATTACATGGAAGCAGGTTTGTGGCACCACCAAAGTTCCCTGGTCATATGACAGACATGAAACTAGGGTTCGGCGATCCATCTTCAGGCCTGGCACATCTTGACCCGTCATCCAATCATCCACTTCGGTTTCAGAGGGAGCAGCATCTTGGTTCTCTTCCAGTATTCAACCATGAGAAGTTTCGGTCAAAGTTTGGCGGTGGAGATTCTTCTGCTGGACCTTCCTCCACAAACGAGAAGCCATTTTTGCTCGATTCTTTTGGAGCAAGCAACTTGGGCGCATTAGGTTCGAGTTACCTGGGCACCTTGGACGTACAGAGAAGAGAGGAGGAGCTTGCTGCGATGAAGTACAGGAACTCACCTAACCTTCTTGATAGGTCATTCCGAGATGTCCACGGTAACTTAGGAGGTGGTGGTGAATTAAGCTTTCCAGCAATGTCCACTGACCCCAACATGCGTCGCTATTCAAAGGGCAAAGAGGTAGTTGGAAGTGGTCCTTCAGAGAACAAGTTGCCACATTGGCTGAGGGAAGCTGTTACTGCTCCTCCTGCCAAATCGCAGGAGCCTGATCTACCCCCTACAGTGTCGGCTATAGCTCAATCAGTTCGATTGCTCTATGGAGAAGAGAAGTCCACAATTCCTCCATTTGTCATACCTGGTCCACCTCCTTCACAACCAAAGGATCCCAGACGAGCTCTAAGGAAGAGGAAGAAGAAGACGAGACCCAATCTAACGGTTCCATTCTCTGATTCTTTTGCTCAGCCCAATCTTCCGCTTCTTCCGCCATTGAATCCCGGGACATCAGGCCTTCCCTGGAATGGATCTGGTGTACAGGGGTTATTGGCACCAACCCCATGCTTAAACCGGGAGAAGAAAACAAACATGGGATTGTCCCCGTCTCCAGAAGTGCTTCAATTGGTAGCTTCTTGTGTTGCTTCAAGTGCCCCACCTGTAGGCCCTGGTTCCGGAATGACAAGCTCAACAAGTGTGCCACCCGAGAGCATGCCGTCAATTCCAAACTCTGCAGATCAAGTTGAAAGCTTGGATAATCACAGTTCGCCCTTGAATACAGAACAAGGAACCGTAGCAGAGGAGATGCAAGATGATGAATGCAGTAAACACCTTGATAGTAGTGGTGAATCTGGCAAGATGCAGCAATCTGCCCCTTGTGAGATTGAAAAGCATGATCCTCCAGAGAAGGGCACTTTGTCAGAAGGAACGGTGTCATCGGAAGGAACGCTCTCTGATCAACCCATGACCGACGATCATGAGCCGCAGCAGCTATAGGGAAAAAAACATACAGTGTACTGTTGTCATTCTTTACACCATCCATATTCTTTTTTTCTTCTTTTTTTTCTTGCTGCTGCTGGTGGTGGGGTTGCAGGGCTAATTAAGTAAGGGGAGATGTGCTCGAATTTTTGTAGGATTGATGATGGGTGGCAAGTAGGGAGTGATGCTATAGGATCCATTTTAGGACAAGGTTTTGTATTGTAAATTGTATGAGATTGGAAATATATATAGTATAAGGGGGGTATCCCTGTTTGGTACTTGTATGACAACTTTCGATTTTAGAATTTTTGTAAGTTGAAAGTGTTGCCTGATACTGTTGAAGTCGGGTTTTCTTTCAATTGCAGCAATCAGCCGCAGACCTAAGGCGGTACAGATTGTCTACAGCTTCTGGTGAAGATGCCGGAGCTAAAGAGTCAGCCCAAGTCATATTCATTTTGTAAAATCCAAAAGCTTAAGTTGTATAGGTTGATCCACTTTCATATGATGCTTTTAGGATACAAATCTATGTAACTTTGCTTGCTTGCTTGCGCACTCACTCTGCCTAATCTGCGTAGCAGCAGTGAGTGAAAAGTGACACCTCAACAACACAATCATCATCGTACATAGCATCTTTAATTATACTAGTTTTTTGGCCCGCGCTTCGCAAAAACTAATTATATTTAAAATTTCATCCACTTATTGAATAATTTACATAGTATCTTAACTTTTACGAAATAAAAATATAATTTACGAAAATGTTATAGAACGGTGCTACAAAAATCTTTTGAAATATATGGTCTAATAATAAAATCAAATTATGAAAATTATCACACATGATTAAACGGTTATGTAACAGTTAAAATGATATTACAGACCATCCATGTGATACAAATTGATTAAAATATTAATATTTAGTTAATAATTAAATAATTAAGTTATAAAACTATCACATTTGATTAAGTTTACAAAAAATCTCATGTACTCTAAGTTGATGAGATTGTCAATAGCTTAGTTATTAATAAAAGAATTTTCGTTCAAACTTATAATACCGAAAACTTATGGAATACATTTTTGTTTAATTTATATATTGTTTATGTCTAACTGAGTGTAGGAGTGAGATACGAATAGATTGGGGTGCGACTGTAGGACAATGGGATTTACTTGAACACTTGAGAGAAAGTTAAAGAGGGGAGAGAGTTGTAAAGAGGGAAAGTTCTTAGATTCTTAGTGTGAGAAAGAGCAAATCGATCTTCTCACCCACCGGAGTAAATGCCATATTTATAGGCTACATTGTGGTGGGTGGATAATAAATGCGACATGACTACTGAAATTGTCACACCTAGGCTGAGTAGGTTACAACGTAGGTCATGATTATGCCTAGAGCTCAGATGTGACCTTTGTCCAGAGGATACGACGCCGTTTATTGGCTCTCTCTCTCTTTACCCGGCCCAAGCAAAACGGTGTCGGTTAGTACTTTCGCGACGCGAGTGGTTTCGTTCGCGGAGGGACCGTTCCGCGAGTAAGAACATGTGTGCTTCCTACCCGCTCGTGGGAGTTGTCGGCGGTTCTTTCTGAGCGGAACTGCCTTGTCTTGTACGCACACTTGGACCTGAGCCGTGCCCCCAACAATTTCCCAAATGGCCCCTGTTTGTTCCTCCACACGCGTGGCTTAGGTCCACCTTCGCGCGCCAACCTCTTTTTTTTTTCTTCTTTTTTTTTGTTGGTGGGGGTTTCTTCTTTTCATGGTTTTTTGCTTTTGTGACGCTGAGTTGGTTTACCTTCCTTTCCGCGGGTATACCTTGCCCCCCAGGCGGTGTGCGGATGATGTGACGTCACCGCCTTGAGTCTATTATTCGTAGGTGCTGACGTGGCGCATTCTCATTCACTTGTTTGGGCGGCGTTTTTTGAATTTCGAAATCACTAACACGTTTGCGATTCTCGATACAGCTTTAACCGTTGGGCTTCCCTTTGTCGGCTATAAATACTCCCCGACTTTGTCAATCGGAGTTATTGCCTCCTTTTTTTCTTCTACCTCTTCTTACTGGGTTTTCTCCTACTGTTGAGATTGCTCTCCTTCTTCTTCGACCTTATTTCTCCGATCCCTTTGCCACCACTGTATTACGTTGGCCAGCAGTGATTTTATCGACGAGATCGAGGTCGTTCAAGACGAAGAAGGTAATCTTTCTCCACTTTTCCATGTTTCAACCGATCCTTCTTTGAATCTTACTGACTCCCACGGCGGGAACAGCGGCGGAGTTGATGATGAAGGGCTACCGGCGACGCCATCGTACGACGTCGATGCTGGCTGGAACCTTCTTCACGGCTCCTTCGACGTCGATGTTGGTAGTGGGACAGTCGCACGCGCTCACGGGGTGTCAATTATCCGTCGTGACTGTGCTAGTGGCTCTGGTTCCGCTCCTGTCGTCCTGCCTGAGGACTCCGACACCTCGTCGGAGCCGGTTTGTGTTTCTTGCGTGACGGAGGCCATGAGCCGTCTCGGCGTTCATGGGGTAGGAGCGGCGTATACCATACTGAATTGGGAGGAGATGTTCTACCGGCGGAGGGAGGTGACCGAACTTGTAAGCGGGTAGGGATTGCCCCCGCATGGGCAGTATGCAGTTCCGACGGCGCAAAGTCGGATCGGGAATTGCCCCCCTGGGTGGTTCGGGGTGTACTCCGAATATTGGAAGATGGGGTTTAAATTCCCGATCGATCCACTGTTGTGCGCGCTGTACATGCGGCTTAGGTGCTCCGTTGGGCGGCTCTCCCCCTCTGTCGTGATGCCTGTGTCGTGTCTCCGCCTTGTGTGTAAGCGATTGAAATTGCAGCCTACATACGGCTTGTTTCGGAAAATCTACAGGATAAAGGAGCCGACAGAGAAGAGCGACTGTATGTCCATCAAGCGCAGGGACAAGAGGCCAGACGAATACGTGTACGGGTCACCCAAACTTGAGAAGAACTGGTTTGAGCAGTTCTTCTTTGTAAAGCCGGTTCCTGGCGAATGGGCTGGAGAGTTTGTGGAGGAACCCACCGTCTGGAAGAAGGGGAGTGTAAAAGGGTACGAGTCGGAGGTTGGAAGTTACGATGGGCTCGAGGAGGAGTATGAGGCGTGCATGAAGCAGAAGATTAATCTTTACACCCGCGGGGTCCGCGCGGACTGTTTGGCGGAACTGTTTGGAGATGGTTAGTTGTTTTACTTTCTCTTTTGCATTCTGGTGTATTAACATGCTTCTTACGGCCTATTGGCGCAGGTGTTGATTTTTCGTCCCTGGTCAGCATGATGTCAGTGAACGACGTGGTGAAAGTTCCCCGAGCACCTCGCGCCGATAAGAATAAGAAGAGGAAGGAGATAGAGCCTCCTGCTGCTGTGGAGAGGGTCTCGAAGGCCCCGTTAGCGATGGTTCAATCGTCCCGGACCGTTGTTGAGGCGGATGCGCGGCCCGTTATTGAGCAGGAGGCTCGGGCCGCTGTTGAGACGCGCGCCGTTGTTGAGAGAGAGGTGCGGGCAAGAAAGCCGCCCCGCCCTGAGAAGAGAGCTGCTGGGAGCTCGTCCGGGACAACTTTCCAGCAGACGCTGCCCGAGATGCCCGGTTTTGGGACAGTAGCGGTTAACTACTTCCGCGACGTGCGCCTTCACTCTGGTATAGCGTGCAATTGCTCCATCGCTCAGACCGCCTTGCGGGCTGTTGGGCCTATGCTAAGCATCCCAACGCGGACGGAGAGGTCTGACCCGCTTCAAGACCTCTCGCAGGTCCATTTTGCGATAAGTTTCCGCTGGTTTCATGCTCTTTTTCTTTTCTCCTTCATTTTTCTCTCTTTTTTTTTGTTAAGTTCTTTGGCGTGTCATGTGTAGGGCTTGCTGGCGACTTTTCGAGCTCAACAGGAACGAGCCCGGGACCACGCGGCTTTGAAGGCTGAAAAGTTGCGGGTTGTGCAGCTGGAGGGGAAACTTTCCGGCGTGGAGGGGCGCACGAAGTTGGCCACAAATAAGGCAAACGAGGCCTTGTAGCAGCTGGCAATTTTGCAAAGTAAGCTATCGGCGGATGTGGTTAACGTGAAGGAGCAGGCACGACTGGAGGAGCGGGAGTCGATTCGTGAAGAGTTGAAGCAGGAGTTCGAGGAGTTCGAGGTAGCAGCTGGCTGATGAGCGCGCTCAAGAGAAGCATCGTTTGGAGGTAGATCATGCTGAAATGCTAAAGAACGTTAAGAGGAGTTCCAGAGGGAGAAGGATGACCTTGTTCGCCTTCATGATGTGGCAAAAGCGGAAGCTGTGCGTGCAGCCCAAGTGAGCACAGTCCGCCAATATAAGTCGTCTACCGCATTTGGCAAACTTCTGGCGGATGCGATCACCAAGGCTGTCATCGCGGTTCGTAAGAAGGTGAGGCTGGACAATCCCGGAATCCGTTGGCACACCCGCGCGATGGTTCGTCACGTTCAACAGTGGCTGGGGGAGAAGAAGCCTTTAGACTCATACTCCGAGCCTGAGACTGAGGAGGGCGAGGCGAGTGTGTCAAGGAGCGTAGGTGAAGGGGAAGCGGGAGCGGCGGAGGCGGCGGAAGTGGCGGAGACGGGGAACATTGTTATTGACTAGTTATGTGTTACTGCGCCACTTTTTGTGTTTCTGTTTCTGGGCTTGAACTATTGGCATGTGTTATCTCCCTGTTTCTGAATCCAAACTTTTTTCAAGTTGTTTCGCGGATCCAAGTTTTTTTTAACCTCTTTTACTGGTCGTGACCACTCGATGTTGTGCCTTGTTGTGTTGTGTGTGCGATTCATGATTGCTCGGATGCGTATATGTGTTATTGCTGTATTTTGCTTTGTTGCGCCTCATGGGCGCGCGAAGAGAAAGAAAATTACTTTCTGCGTCTTACGCGTGTTTTCGTTTGTTTAGCTTAGTTCATGCCTACGCAATTACGTTACTAGTGTTATAGCGTTTGTTTGTATCGTTGCCCCCAACGACTCGGTAGTAGGAATGAGATTTTATTCATATAATAGAACCCCAGGAGTATATATACATAGCTTTAGGAATTCCTATAGTACTTTCTCAGGTTCTGAGCGTTCCACGTCCTTGGGATCTTTGTTCCCGCCAACTCACTTAGCTTGACGCGTTTGGCCCCACTACTTCGCGGACCAGGTATGGGCCTTCCCAAGTAGCTGCTAGTTTGCCGTGTCTTGGGTCCGGGTGGAAGTTCCTCTTCAGCACTTGGTCTCCTAGCTTGATATCATGTGGTACCAACTTGGCATTATAGTATTTGGCTACTTGAGCTTTTGCGGCGGCTAGCTTGATGGACCGTTAGTTGCGACGCGTCGTTGCTGTTTTCGTCGAACATGGTAATCCGGTTTGTGGGCATTGATGTCTCGATAGGGATAACCGCGTCGGGGCCATATGTGAGAGCGAATGGCGTTTTTCCTGTGGCGGTTTTGAATGTGTGCGGTGTGCTCAAAGTACCGTGTGTAGCTCTTCTGTCCAGTTTTCTTTTGCTTCGCCCAGGCGGGTGTGGAGTT